CTCCTCCTCCTTCTCCTCCTTTGAGGAAAGGTTTATTTTGGCACAGTTTTTGGAGGTTTCAGTCCACAGTCAGCTGTCTGCAATCCAAAAGTGGTGCCACGGGAGAAGACATAGCAGAGGAGGGATGCTCATGACGGAGCAGGCAGGACACAGAGGGTGTTTTCTTCTTAGTGGAGAATTTTTACTTTAACTTTTTGCAGTGTTGGGCACTGAGCTCAGAACTATGTACTGGCTAGGTAAGTCCTCTACTACTTAGCTATACCTCCAAACTCACAACAAAAGGAGTACTTTTAAACAACTACTTATATTGCATATGTATATGTGGTACCCATTAAGTTATATTGGGGAAAGATGTGATGTTGATTAAAAACTAGGAATAACAAACTTCATTTGGTAAACAGTGGGGGAATATATGATTAGAAGAGTGACCTATTAAAGTTAGCACTTAAGAATATTGGTTTCATGATATAAGTGTCTATTATTTTGAAAACAAAAATGTGAAGTTCAGGAGTCTGGATCAAGGAATGTCATAATAATCAAGGCATGAGGTGACAAGAGCCAGACCCACTGGAGGAAGAATGAGTACAGAAAAAACTTTAAAAAGTAAATGGCAAAAGGGAGAAGGTTGGGTTATAAGGGAAAAAACACCTCTCAAACAGTGAGATGAAACCTATAAATAGAAAAGGAGTAAGGTATGGGGCAGCTATGGAAGATGGTGAGGCTCTTTTCAATCTTTCTTTCATTTTTGTATTACTACACCTATGTTTCTTCGGATCTTCCCTTTCAAAGGTGATCCACTTTGAAGCCTGGTGAACATAGCGTTTGGTTTTGTGACTTGCATTAGACACAGAATGTGGACAGAACCCATAGCAAGTGTGTAGAGTCTAAGCACAACAGCACTACCCCCGGCATCTTGAAAGAGGGTGCCCTGTGCCCTGCATGCTCATTATGGCCCCTGTGTGGACCTGGGTAAAACTGACAGATATCATCCGCATACTTGAATACCTAGAGGCCATCTAAATCTGTCCTCCTAATGCTCAGAAAAGAGATGTCCTCTCTCAGCTGCAGGAGTATAAAGCAGGAAAATAAGTGCTTCCTTTGACAAGTCATCGAGCTTTGGAATGAATATTTGCTCAGCAATTTATGAAATAACTGGTGACTGTTTCCACATTGAGTTTGATATTGGTGTCTCATGTAGAAATTTATTGTTAACAAGTAGAAGTTGAAAGAGTGCTGAGCCCTTCAGCTTACAGATTTTACTTATGAAGATAAAACTTAAAATTTGAGAGGAGAAAATAAACATAAAATGAAAAATCCTGTCAAGAAAATGAACCTTTGTTAGAAATAGGATGCAAAATATAACAGTGAAGAAGAGAACAGTCCATTAGTAAAGAGACTCTGATGAGAGTTTGCCTTATCTTTCAGTTCTACACCTTAAATGCTTGGTGGACAGCCCCTAATAAGCACTGAGATTTCTTAGTTTTTTTTTTTTTTTTTTTTCTCAAAGAATAGTGACAGTGTTAATTCTGCAAGTTTGTTGTGAAATTTGATAAAATAATATACAGAAGCTCTACCATAGTGACTGATACAATTTTTGCTTCAGGTGCATCTCTTTTCTCTATGCACGCTGACTCCCTGCGCTGATGGAAATGTATCTGTGGTGGCCGGAGAAG